GCAATCCCAGCCCCTACATTTACTTAACAGATACTATCACTCAGAAAAGACAGACTGAAATCTGCCACTTAAAAGGATACAATTAAAAAAAAAGCAAAGCATCTCTTCTGTAAAATTTCTGTCAAAGATATGCTGAATCTAATCAATTAAGGGATGTTCTTTAAAGTCAGCAGACTGTAAATCTTAGAAATGGTAAGATCATGACAAAACCAAAAAGACTGAGGAACTGTTCTAAACTGAAGGAGATGACAGAGACATGACAACTAAATGCAATTTGATTTTGAATGGGATTTTTGTGCTATTAAAAAAATGGGACAATTATAAAAATAAGAGTCTAAGGTATAGATGATTATCAATGCCAATTCCTGATGTATTCTAATATCAATGTTAATTTCCTGATTCTATAACTGCATTGTGGTTATACAGGATAATGTCTTTGTAGAAATGATACTGTAAGATACATGGGGCATCGAATTAACAACGTACTTTCAAGAAGCTTGGGGGAACCGAGGTTTGTATAGCGTATGGCCACCTTTTTTTTAAGTTTGAGACTTAAAAATAAGTGAAATACAGTGAAAACACTGTACCCAACCATATGAGCTACTACATGCTGCAAGCTAGAGATTACTACCAATGCATTACATTATTTATTTTAAGAATGAGAATGCAAGATTAGTTGCTTAAAAGCTGTTTAGAATTTGCACCTACATACCTATTATATTCTATGCAACAAAAATAAATTTAATTCAGAGGCTGATGTGAATTATAATAACCCAATTTCAAATTGATGTCCATCAAAATATTTTTTAAATAATTTATTTTTTAGTTTTAGGTGAACACAATGTATTTATTTTACATTTATGTGGTGCTGAGGATAGAACCCAGTGCCTCATGCATTGCAAGGCTAGCACTCTACCACTAAGCCACAAACCCAGCCCCAATCCAAATATTTTTAATGTTTACTTTATAAAATACATTGTTAAACTTATAATTTTATCTGTTTTATATATTGAAGGTCCATGCTGAAAAATCATTGATCCAATGTCCCACTATTAATCTGTAATGTCTTACAATTATATTTTACATATATATATATATATATATATATATATATA